GGGGGGGGGGGGAATGGCTAAAAGAAATTAATCCGGCACGTATCGCGCCACTCGGTCCGTCTCTTCTAGTTTGTTTTCTTCCCTCGCCGTCTCGTCCGTCCCTTGCCCCCTTCCCGCCCCAATGGTTGGTGACTTGTGGTTTCTTTTGAGCGACCGTTGTCGGCTGGCCTCTTCTTCCTTCTTGTGCCAGGAGGTCATGAACCTCTCAGCTCCCTGCAGCACCGCCGCATGCCAGGGTACTCCCCCCTCTACCTTCGCGGCTTCCGTCCACTTTAACGTCGGTGCCGTGTCTTTCGGTACCGGGATTCCGAAACAACATGGATCGGTTTTCGTAGATCCGTGGTCGGCCCCGAATGCCTTCAGGTCGTCGAGCACACACTTCGGCCAGTTCTGTTCCTGTCCCCCCCTACGTCGCTTCTCCCCCCCTGCCAGTTCGCCGAACATCAGTCGTTTCGGGAGTGGCCCGTCCGGCTGCCTTGCCAATGCTCCCGCGAACAGTAGGCCTCATTGTCGGATCGTAGCTTGAAANTACCGGGATTCCGAAACAACATGGATCAGTTTTCGTAGATCCGTGGTCGGTCCCGAATGCCTTCAGGTCGTCGAGCGCACACTTTGGCCAGTTCTGTTCCTGTCCCCCCCTACGTCGCTTCTCCCCCCCTGCCAGTTCGCCGAACATCAGTCGTTTCGGGAGTGGCCCGTCCGGCTGCCTTGCCAATGCTCCCGCGAACAGTAGGCCTCATTGTCGGATCGTAGCTTGAAAGCTCTGGCATTCGACCCTCTTCAGCGTCTGGGCGTAAGAGAGCTGCCGGTAGGTGTGTTTCTTGCGCATGTACCCGATAACTCGAGGGAGCAGTCGGTCGTGTATCGACTGCAGCGTCTGATAGTGGCCGCTGAGTGGTGACCATGTCATGCAGCCGTACAGCAGTGCCTCCATCGCCTCCGCCTGGAGCAGGCGGATCTGGAGTCGGAATGGCGCTTGCGGTCTGTCGAAGAGCTCCCGCTCATATCGCCTGAGGTACGCCCGCGCTCCTCTGCTCCTGTAGTTGATCTCCCGGGTGAGGTCGCCATGTTCGTTGACGAGGCCACCGAGGTACCGGAACTTGGTTGTCTGGGCGTATTTCTGTCCCGCGGCTTCGATTGTCAGTGGTCGAGGCGGGGCGGGCTGTGATGTTGTAGTCGGCTTGTCCTTTGCGCGCATCAGGAGCGTCTCCGTCTTCTTCTCCGACACCGTTAGCCCGAACACCCCGAACACCTCAACGATGATGGTCATCATTCTCGTCAGTCCTTCTGCAGACCTCGATTCGACGCCAGCATCGTCGGCATACAACATCCCTNACATCATCCTCGCTGAATCGGATGACAACGACCTCAAGGACCTCGGCGAACAAGATGTTGAACAGCTGTGGGGATAGCACACATCCTTGTCGCACGCCCTGTGTCACGAAGAACCAGTCCGATAGTTCTCCTTCGTCCATGCGCACCCGGGCCCGCATTCCATCGTGGAAATGGCGGATGACTTCGATCAGCTTCGCGGGAATCGCGGCCCTGGCCAGCACCTTCCATAGCATCTCTCGGTCCACCGAATCATTCGCCTTGTTCAAGTCGACGAAGCACATGTAGCGCGGTAGTTTCTTTCTCCACCCCAGCTCCTGGAGGCGGCGCACGACGAACAGCATGTCGACGGTGGATCGCCCGGGTCGAAATCCGCACTGTTCCTCCGGGAGGATGTTGTTGGCTTCGCAGAAGGCGCTTGGACGGTTGGTGATGATCTTGATGTGGACCTTGCCTACGTGAGATAGTAGCGAAATCCTACCCGTAGTTGTTACAGTTGAACCGGTCACCCTTCTTCTACAGCACCTTGATGGTTGCATCCTTCCACTCTCGCGGAATATCCTTCCGTTCCACACCTTGACGAGGATGGTATGGAGGTGTCCCAGGACGAAGGGTTCGTCGTCATCGATCTTGAGCAACTCGGCAGGGAGG